TGCTTTCGCATTCACAACTCATAAGAAGTGCTTAAGTGTACTTCGATACTTTTTAAATGAGAAAGTGTGAATTACACTCAAAAGCACTCTCGGTACATATGTATTCGTAGCTGATGTGAGGTATTAACAAACATTGCGACCATAAACCCATTTATAGAAAAAAATTAGATCGCGCTCAAGTTTTCTTGAGCTTAGTGTAGTATAACAACATCGTCGTAAAAGCGTGTTATGCTCATAATAAACACTGCGGCTAATGTAGCGATTTTGAATAATACAAAAGGAACGTCTCTGCACGATAACAGTGATTTGTAAGCAGTGATAGAGTGCAGAAGACTGGTAATGAATCGACATCTTGTAGACCCTGAGATGGGCAACAATAAAAAAAACGGGGACGAAAACAACAGTACAACCATGTTTTCGATGTTTGCCTGGTTTTCACTACCAATACAATTCCAAACAACAGAGCTATATTCAAACTTGCTACGTACTAGTGAAAAATACAAAATGAGTATACAAGCTGACGAAAGAAATTCACGTGTTATTCTTGAAATAACACCTAGCGTCCGATAGGCAGCATTTCTGACGTTGGAAACATGTTCATTGAATGACAATGATGAATCAATATATACTCCTAAGTTTCTTGTTCATTCAACCCTACGCAAAGCTAGGCTTTCAAGATAGTAACAAAAACTTAGTATCTCCATTTTTTTAGCAAAGGACACAACTACAGTTTTTTTAGGATTCAGTGTTAGCAGATTGCGGCAACAGCAATGGTGCACAGCATTAACATCCTGGAGTAGCATTTCACAGTAATAGATGGATGACACCGGCCGAAACAATATAATGTCGTCAGCATATTTCAAAATATATAAATGGCGGACACAAGAAGCCAGATCATTTATAAAAACATTGAATAAAATGGGCCCTAGTATTGACCGCTGTGGTACACCAGAAAAAGACACATGACGTCTAGAATGGTGTCCTAATATTCGAACGCAGTCTTTTTGTTTTCTTCAGATAGTTTGTAAAAAAATTTAAAAGCTGGTTATTTATCCCAATATGTCCCCAATTTATGTACAAGAATTGAAATATACAATGTGTGATTTTAATTGGAACAAACCTTTTTTTTTTTTAGAAAAAGCGGGGTGACATTTAGGCGAGTGACGTGTTCACAATGCATTTATCAGGCTCGGCGCGATCATTATATCAGAATAAACAAATGCGATGGCAAGTTCCCTAAAAAACGAAAATCCTTTAATTCACTTTTTAATCAATGGCTCTACGGGTCATATTAAAACTCCACTATTGACGGCAATTATTTTAGAGGCGAGATTATTTTTTAAAAAAATCATGAAAATGTAATTCTCTTGATCAAATATAATTTGATAATTGTTTGCGTTGTTTAGCCCGGTTTAAAGTTTTTGCGCAAAAGAAGTGACCCCTAGAAGAGTGAAATTGTCATTGAAAATAATATCGCCACTATCTCGGCAGCGTGTTCATGGCGGTTGTGCCGACGACACGAGTGATGTGGTGAAGACAGAATTCATGTAATTTTTACGCCCCTATTTGTTTTCTTTTCAAATCAATTCGAATTAAATTTAAACGCTCTGTATAAACAAATGAAGAGTGGTATTTTTGAGCTCTATCTTTGAGAAAGAAACGCGATACAATATCAGATATTAAATACGTTATAAATGCATGGTGCGAACAAATTACGGGCTACAAAGCTTAGCATATAAAATACTTGAATTGAAACAAAAGTATGTGGAGGTTGAACAAATAATAAGAAGACAAAATATATTGATAGTTCGAAAAGCAAATGCAAAACTTATTTATTTGCACCTTTTATTTCATAGGCTTTCACCATTGTTGTTAACCTACCCTTCTTAGTGTTCGTGTTCAAAACTACTTTGTAAAGGTCATTTTTTTCTTGAATCAGTGATACGTAACCATGAATTGTTGTTTTGTTGTTGTTTTGTTTATATATATATATATATATATATATATATATATATATATATGTATTGTTAGGGCATTGTATGACTGGTGTCGACGTGTCCGCCAATATTATGAAATTATGATTAGCTGTTTGAGCCTTTAAGTTTAAACATGGTCAAAGTTACGCAAAAAAAAGACAGGGACGGAAAAGAGAAACTTCCTTCCGAATCAAGTGAGCTGTGAGTGTGCGTGTTTCTGCCCTTTCTCCCTGTCATTTTGCGTGCAGCTTTTTTCATTTTTTGCGCAGCACTTCTCACCAAAATTACGGCACATTTTTAGAAAACTTCTATGACGTGGCACGCGCTTTTGACGCTCCACTCAGAGGAGGGCACTGCGTGGGTTTCGGTCATTCTAACTCGCGTTGTAGATTATCATCGGTCATCACGGAGACTGTTACCTGATTCGTAGTAAAAAGCAAGCCGTACTGAGAAACAGGGACAAACGAAAGACAGGTACAGCAGACGAGCGCTTACTCACACCTGAAAGTTCACAAGCCCTGAAACAGGGACTGCCCAGTCCGCTCTTGTAAACCGTTAAAAAAAACTTCAAAAATAAAAAAGAAACTTTTACAAACTTGAAATATGAACACATGTCTTTAAATAAGATAAAGACGTGCACTCAGCATACGTCAAAACAAAATAAGGTTGACTTAAACAAGGGTTGCCGAATGTCCTAATACGAAAAGCCTCAAAAGCCACCCGCAGCGTCTGCACGTCCATTTTCTAGAAACACCTTGGTGTTCCTGAACAGAGGTTAGCACCAACATCGGTCACAAGCTTCTGCCGAATGACCCTACGGAGTGAGAGGTAGCGGGCGCCATAGTCTTCGAGTCTTATGTTGATACATTTTCCCATTTTCCCCAAGTACTCCCTACCGCAGGAACGTGGAAAAGAGTAAACAATATCAGCCCGATACCGCACGAAGCACTTGGAACAGGTTGTGAAGTACCAACCAAAAAACATTAAGATCGGAAGATTAAAAATAGTTGAACAACCATGTTTCGAGCAGCTAACCACAGGAGGGTATTCGCGGTACGAAACTTACGAAGACGCTTCTTTATTTATTTAAAACTTCAGCCAAGACGAAACTGCCTCGGGGGTGAGGTAAAAAAGGGCGGCAGCGGAGGTCGCCTGATTAGGCCTCTAACGAGGTAATGATCGCTTTATGCCTGCCATAAATACGTTCGGTCTTCGTAAAAAAAGGTGAAAAGAAGTTTCGCGTGTTTTGAATTTTGTCTTATTTTCGGGTACTCTTCGGGCACGTGTTTTAGCCCTTAATATCGTAAAAGCAAAAATGAGCTGCAGCGAGAAAACCAAGGTCGTCCCAAGAAGCCGCAGAAGGGTACGATATAAATTGTTCCCCCTTGCGCCCAACCCGCCCGGTTGATCGACATCTGAAATGGCCAGGGACGACGCTATCGCGTCGCCATCTTTCCATGAAAGCGGGGGCCTAGGAGAGCCACAAGCAGTGCGCGGTCGGATGCGTGAGTCAACATGGAAACGTCGCTATCAGTCTGAGACAACAGGGCGGCAGACGTTAGAAGTGATTAAGGGAGGTATGCAGAATGAAACGCTGGCCTTTGTTTATCGTGGATGCAAACCCTTCGTCGTCTTTTCAGTAGTATGTACGGTCGTTATAAATAGAAGGTTCTGGAGAGCTTGTGGCGTATTGACTTTATCACGGAACAATATTTGTATAATGGCTCGACTTGTTTTCGATTTCAATGACAGCCTTATGAGCGGCTGGTCGTGCTTTTCGGGACGGTCAATAAATAAATCGAAAGTATTTTATCATTAGAACCGTGGTGTGCTGTGAGCCTGGTGTCATTACTCATTGGATAGAGAACAATATAAATTACGTGACCTATGTATATTCAAGTTATTTTTATTGGTTTCATTTTGAATCATCATTACTTTTGACAACCTCTTAAGTGAAAAGTTATCGCGCTGAGGATTCTATACCCTATTTTTTACACAAATATACGTGCCTTACACAAATTATCATACTTGGAGACCTCATTTGCGTTTTGTCAAAATACTGCATTGTGTTAACGATCTTTCCAAGTTAATCACCTACCGCCATAAAAGATGGACGGTTGTCGAAGCTGGTATTAAGTTGCCAGGAATCCTGCTTGAAATTTTACAACGGCAGCTGACATTTTCCTTTTAAACCGCACGCACGTTAAAATAAATGTTCCAATCATTTGCACTTCTTTTCCTTTCACAATCACTCATGGTGGCGGCTCGCCTGCGTCCTCAACTCGCATTCCTTGTACATTCCTAATTATATCCGGTGATTTTCGAGCCCTTCCTTAATCTTAGTTACTGTTTGGTGTCACTTTCTTGCGCTCTCATGCATGGAGGAGCTTGAAGGATGAGGAAAGGAGGAGGTGAAGGAGGAGGAGGGGAGAAGGAGGAACAGGAGGGAGGAGGAGAGGAGGAGTAACAGGGAGGGTGAGGAGGTGAGGAGGAGCGAGGAGGGGTATACCCTCCTTTCAGTACCCTTCCCTTCTCCTCCTCAAGAGCTGCGCTCTAATTCGGCGTTACAGGGTGTTTTAAACGCCTTTCATTTTTTACATATTCACTGTCTCGATTCTTCTTTTTTATTATTAAGGAGTTAATTTACTAGCGTGGCTGCGCATTTAGAATTTCATTATTAAAACAGAAATTTCAGAGACATAGCATTGCTACTAAAGGACTGCGATTTCTAAAAGTTTATATTGTTTCACCCTTTATGTATTCGAGGATAACTTTCTGTGTCATTTCGGAAGTAGTGGAGGGTGCATTTGAAAAGCTTTGCAAAGCTTTCATGCTGCGTGAGCGCACAGACGCCCATAATTTTCGTTGCCACAGAATGCTGTACCCAAGCATAGCTACGCGTCCCTGGGCGCTCTTCAAGGTCCCTGCTTATACTAATTTTCACAGATATGTTTTGAGAGAGAGTCTATAACAGGCGTATTCAGCATGGTATTACTAAAGACAAAAAAAAAAGGCTTCGACCAAATGGTAGCGGCCTTCGAAACTCGGTTTGTAGGCTCATTAACGTTAATGAATTGAGCGAACTTGCTGTGGTTATGTAGCATCAGCTCAAGAGTTTGGGCAAGGGAGATCACGAAGAAACAATGCCGAACCCGTTATTTGTATTCAGGATTTCGGGATTCCGAAAGACACCCACGGAACGCTGTTCCATTTAGGGCGGTCTAAGGACTTACCAGAAGAAAGAAAAAAAAAAGCAGTTGTAGATAGCTACCAGAGAATAACGAGCTGAAGCTGAGCTAGTTCATCTAGATTGATGCAAAAGAAAGGTCAACTGAACGTTAAGGGCAGAAACACTAAGAGAAGAGACAGACATACACACCGCTGACCATCAGCTGTGACTTTATACTTCTTGATAACTTTAACCCAAATTCGTTTCCTTTTTTATTTCGCACTTAAAAGAATGCCAATACATTAAATTCAATTTTGAATTTGGCAGTCCAGCAGAGCGTACAAGAGTGCTAACCAGTCTGTTCTGCTCTTGCAGCTTCTGCTCCTTCAGTCTGCATTGCACTCGTGCACCGCATAAGGAGACGGTTTTCAACGCGTCATCGCAGCCACAATACCGCTGGTATCGGCTTAAGGATTTCCTGCCCGACAAGTACTGCGGCCTTCCTCGTGCCTACGTGACCGAGGGGGGCGTCTACGCGCCTGCAAGCAGTGAGCTTGCAAGTTTGCTTCGGACGCTTGGTCTTCCAGACCGGAACTCAAGGGGCGTCTCTTCCGCAGCAGGATCCTATATCAGCGCATCACTCTCAGTCGGCGGGTTGCAGTCCAGCAGAGCGTACGAAGAGTGCTAACCAGTCTGTTCTGCTCTTGCAGCTTCTGCTCCTTCAGTCTGCATTGCACTCGTGCACCGCATAAGGAGACGGTTTTCAACGCGTCATCGCAGCCACAATACCGCTGGTATCGGCTTAAGGATTTCCTGCCCGACAAGTACTGCGGCCTTCCTCGTGCCTACGTGACCGAGGGGGGCGTCTACGCGCCTGCAAGCAGTGAGCTTGCAAGTTTGCTTCGGACGCTTGGTCTTCCAGACCGGAACTCAAGGGGCGTCACTTCCGCAGCAGGATCCTATATCAGCGCATCACTCTCAGTCGGCGGGTTGCAGTCCAGCAGAGCGTACGAAGAGTGCTAACCAGTCTGTTTTGCTCTTGCAGGTAAAGTGCTGTTTTGGTTTAAGCGCTTCTGTGATTTTATACTCTGCTGGACTGCCCCACTTTTTCAACATGCCTAACGACGCGGAGAATCGAGAGTGTATTGTGTGTCTAAAATCTCTAGGTTTGGATGGTCAGGGGCTGAAATGCTCCGTCTGTAACCACTGGTATCACATTGGGAAATGTGCGGGGATTTATAAGACTGCACTGAAGGGCCTTTTTCAGGAGCAAATGCTTGCTTGGCAATGCTCTACATGCAAATTGCACTTCGCTCGGTAATCTTCAACTGATCAAGAGCCTACTCCAAAACAGAGCAATCCGAATGAACCGGACATTGCAAAACTGATTTTGGACATGAGCTCAAAGCTGACGGAAGTACTTGGTCGTCTTGATTTGATGGAGAAGTCGATCGCGATGCAATCAGCCAAGCACGATGCTGTGTTTGCAAAACTTACGCAGCAGGAAAAAACAATAGAAGGAATTGAAGAATCAATGGAAATGTTGGGGTCACAGTACGATGAAATTCTTAAAAAAGTAAAAACTCAAGAGGACAACACTTTGGAACTAAACAAAAAAGTGAGTAAGATGGAATCCGCAATGTCGAAGCAAGAAATGGAAATCCGTGAACTTAAAACAACCGTAGATAACATGGAGCAGTACTCAAGACGAAAAAATGTAGAAATCCACGGCATCCAAAAGAAGGAAAATGAGAATCTACTTGAAATGATCCAGTGTCTCGCAATAAACTGCAACTGCCTGTACCTGCGACGGAGGATGTCGAGGCTGTACATAGGTTAAGTGCTTGAGAAGGAAAAATTCCACCTATTATTGTACGTTTCAACGAACGTTCTGCCAGGGACCAGTGGCTGACGAAGCGAGTGGCACTCCGGCAAGAAAAAATATTAATTAATGAGAACTTGACTAAGTCCGTCAGGGAACTGCTTTGGAGTGTGAGGCAGTGTGCTAAAGAGAAAAACTACAAGTATGTATGGGTCAAAAACGGGAAAATTTTCGTTCGTCAGAGCGAAAATAGGGCAGTCATTCGTATTAACCGTCAGGAAGATTTATTGAAAATCGCTTGAAATGTCAGTGTCGTTTGAAACGTTTTCAGAGTGGGAACCCACTGGAAGGAAGCCATCGTGGCATCTCCTAGCACCGAGGTAACCCTAAATATGTTACACATCAATATCAGAAGTATAGAAAAACACTGGAATCATTTATTAGTTTCCTTGGCCGATCATGTTGACAGTTTGGATATTTTAATTTTAACAGAAATTAATACTACCATATCAAACGTCTCCTTGTACTCTCTAGATGGGTTTCAATCGTTTTCACTGTGCAGAGAAAATAGAAGAGGGAGCGGAATACTTATGTTTGTTAAAAGTTCTTGGTTCTGTCAACCAGTAACCACATCTCTCACTCAAGCTGAAGTGCTGGTCACTGCTATCTCAAGACAGGACATTTCATTCGTCATTGGCGCTTTTTACAGGCCGCCAAGTTCGAATATTACCTTATTTTTTGACGAGTTAGCAGGATTACTAAACACGTTTGGCAATGATAGCCAGCTAGTGTTCGCGGGCGATTTTAACATCGATGTAATGAAAGTTGCGAACAATGGAGTTGCAAATTATCTGAACCTGTTATCAGGTTTTGGATTAGAAAACTTGACCACGAATTTCACAAGAGAAGAGTTTCTTGGTAATCGGTTTACACGTACAGCGATTGATCATGTAGTTGTGAGACTAAATAAAGCAAAATTTGCCTCTGGAGTAATTAAGCAAAAAATTGCAGACCACTATTTTGTATCCTTTATAGCATTTTGTGGCGCGCCGCAAGATGACACGGTTGATCAATACAGCGTGATTCTAGACAGAAGAAAAATAGATAATTTTATTAAGCAATTTGACTGGAGTAGTTTACTCACCATGGATCATATCACTGCATATCAAACAATGGTGGTTCAATTCGAATATATATATAACAACAGTAAGAAAAAAATAAAAATAAAACAAAGAAAAAGCAGAAATGCGTGGATTACTGTAGAAATAATAGAATTGTGCCATGAAAAGAATATACCATGGAATCGAGTGAAAGCTAACCCAGCAAACAGCGCACTGAAAGCGGAGTTTAGAACCTTACGGAATAAAATAACTGCTGAAATAAGGCTAGCAAAGAAAAGGCACTATAGCACTCGTTTGCAGCACAACCAAAAAAATCAGAAGAAAACGTGGCAAACTGTGCAGGAACTAACTGGCCACAAGAAAAAAGAAAGCATAGATGAAACAATTAAGAAAGCGTTTAGTGATACTGATTTGAATTCACTAAGTAACAAATTTAATACTACTTTTGTGCGTAGCGTGTCAGATCTTCACTCCCAAATGAGGGGTGTTCCGGACTTTGCATCCAGCCCCGTTAGTGGGTGCGGAAACTCGGCTTATTTAACACAGATGACAGAGGATGACTTAATGAAGATTATCAAGAATATGGCTCCAGGCAAATCGCCAGGAGCTGATAGGATTCGCCTAAGAGATATATCGGCAAATTTTGAGCACCTAAAGCACATACTTCTGAAGATAATCAATTCGTGCCTTTCTACTGGTCAGATCCCCAACGGCCTGAAGATCGCGGTCGTGTGGCCCATCTATAAGAAAGGTAGCCGTAAAGTCATATCGAACTACAGACAAATTTCTATCCTGCCCGTGATTTCATTGATACTGGAAAAGTTCGTTTTCAACATAATGACTTCATTCTGTGAGAAATACTCCCTGCTATACCCGTCCCAGTATGGGTTTAGAAAAAATGGAGGAACAATTACGTTATTGGAAGATCTCTCTGACCATATCCACAAGATCATAGATAACAACAACTTTGTGTTAGCTCTCTTTCTGGATCTAACAAAGGCATTTGATTCAATTAACCACAAAATACTGATAAAGAAATTACTACGCATTGGCTTTAGGGGCCCTTTTATTGAATTTTTAACTGACTACCTCTCGGCCCGTCACCAAATGGTAAGCATTTGTGACGTTAAGAGCGATTTATTGCCAATTAGTACGGGCGCTCTCAAGGTTCCATTCTCGGTCCTCTTCTTTTTAATATTTATGTAAATGACCTTGGCAGTCTACCATTTTCTTCGACGGTATATCAGTACGCGGATGACAATGTTCTTGTTTTTGCAAGTAATGACGAAGCCACAGCGTTATCGTATTTTCAACGCGATATACATGGGTTGATGGCTTGGTTCAGAGCTAACCAAATCTTAGTTAACGCGGACAAAACGAAACTAATGCATTTTCATAATCCTCACAAAGTATTAAATGTGTCTACGCCTTTAATGCTATATGAGTCTGACTGCAGAGACTGTGAATGCACACCTTTAGAATATGTGTCATCTGTAAAGTATTTAGGTCTTTTTTTCGACAAATTTTTAAACTGGGGCACTCACATAGACTACCTTGCGAAGCGTCTTCGCGTGGTTTCCGCATACTTGTTTCATCTGCGTATGGTATCTGACGTAAGTTTACGGATGAAGGTGTACCAAGCGTTAGGTGAATCGGTGCTCCGTTATGGTATAACGATATATGGAGCATGTTCAAATTACAAGAAAACAAAATTAGATAATATTCTACACAATGTGTCCAAAAATATTGCGTACAGAACAAGGTGGAGCGGTGTAGATCCTGATTTAAGAATGAGGTCTCTTCTAATTCTTTCCATTGAACGACTGTACATCTATGTAGTTTGTCTAAAACATTATTATAACGACACATTCAAGGTACCATTAAAAAAGCAAAGAACACTAAGCAAAACAGAGCGGTTTGTTCAGCCTAGGATTTTTACGAATTACGGAAAAAGAGTAAGATCATTTTATGTCCCATACTTTTTTAATAAATTACCTGACGATCTATTTTGTTTACAGTCATTCAGTGTTGTTAAAAGATGCCTAAAATATTGGTGTCTTACTCATACTAACTAGTTCAGTGCGTGCGTCTCAGTGCAGACTTTGTTATGTTTCAATATGTGTGCGGTTGCATGTGCAGTTGCATTTTGATATTGTATAATTTTGACTTCTGTTGGCTGTCGGGACCCGCCCACAAGCACCCTCGTGCTTTTGCGGGCCCGTACGTATCTGTATGTTTTCGTTCAGAAATAAATAAATAATAAATAAAATATCATTACATATTTCCCTATCACTCCACTCCACCTAACTCCACTAACACCTCATGCCTCTTAGATCGCCTCACGGGGACGAGCCACATAACTAAAACTGCTTTTTCTATTTTGCTGAATCTGATGCTTTCCTCAAATGCTATGGCCACTAAAATCTCGCACTCAAGGTTTCTTTTTTTATGTTTTTTTGGGACTGGAAATGTTGTTAAAACTTGGACTGCACCCGCAGGCGCGGCAATGAGCTGAAAGATGCCCTGCCGCTGTGCCTTTTACCGATGGATGTGTGAAGAAGCCTTCGATCACAGTCATTAAAAAAGAAAAATAGTTTGTTGCGATGTGGCACATCGCTGTGAGGCGAAATAAAAGGGATGAGGTGCTGGTGTAGTACGGTGGGGTGAGGTGAGAAGTAAATCTCTATAGGGTCATCATTTAATTTATTTCATTGGCATTAATTTATGTCCAGAATAAAAAGAAAAAAAGAAATGGATTCGGTTTAACGTAGTGAAGAAGAATAAAGTCACAGTTGATAGTCAGCGGTGCGGATGTCTGTTTCTTGTCTTTGCTCTTCTCTCCTAACGTTCTAGCTCACCTTTCCTTTTCTATAACAGATCATGCGTGGATGGGTTTCTCCCTGATTCGCCTTACAGACTGACCGTACTACTGTTTGAAGAATGTCGCAGTTTTTATTAAAATAGCTATGGTCACTGACAGAACCAGAACGGTAGGGACCTCCAGCTCCAGCTTCCTACCTTCGATAAAATTTCTTCCTCTCGTATGCTTCGAACAAGTGGGCGTATTCAAATCACTACAGAAGGCAACAGGCGCGTAGAGGACGTAGTCAGGAATCCAAAAGAGATGTCCGGCCGTTCTCGACATTTTCGTAAATTGGCTGCTCGACCGAGGGGAAAACAAACCAACATACACGATCACAACTGACAAATATCCTTTTTTATAACAGTGTCTTTGTTTCTTTACCGCATATTAATTTGTTTATCGA